AGCCCCTCCCCCTCCTGAAACATAAACAAGATGGAAGTAAACATCCCTTAAAAACACCAGCCCAACTTTGCCCATCCGTTAAAGTCTATTTTTTATGTATTTAAACTTCTTTTGATCATGTGACTTTCCAGTAATCGGATTTTAAAACCTCACCAAACCTCACCCACCATTGATGCCTTACACTTTGAATCATATTTGAAAGCAGTTATTTCAGCTGTTTTTGTTGTTTGGGAAGCAAAGATTAATATTTTTTCACTTTTTTTCAACTTTGAAATATTGAAGGCGTCCTGTGATTTTATAAAAACTGACCGCATTGGTTATAAAAAGAAATCTGTATTGGTCAAAATCTGCAGGTCAAGCTTTTTAAACAATCGGTGAATACCTGTGATCAGTGCATCCATAGTGTTTAATTTACTTTACATCACGTTTGGTTCTTTATTTCTTCACTTCCATGCATTTATTAATATAAAGTTCATTTAGATTTTGTAGGTTTTACCATATTTTTGTTTTCTTCCTTTCTGTTAGCAATAATCAAACCTAAACTTTGCTTTCTCTTTCAAATATTTAGTTCAGCTCAGGTCTTCTGCATGGATGTGCAGAGTTCTGTGTTCTTTCTTTGAGTCAGTCCTTTTGCGTTTGCGATCTACTCCTGTTTTTCATCATGTTTGTTTCAAATCAGCCATTTTTTTTCCCTAGATGATGATGATTTCCTGCTTCAGATTAGTTTCTTTTCTGATTGAACTGCACAGCTGCAGCGACTTGGAAGAAGACACAGAGTTTCAGGAAATCCAGGCCTCTCCGATGCTTGAAGGCCTTTTTTCTCTTTGAGTTAACTTTAATTGGGCCGTTTCCTCTTGTTTGTGCCTCTGCCAGAGATGAATCTAAAGGCAGTGGAATAAAGATCCAGTTGGGTGAGAAAATGTCTGGATGAGCAGTGAGGATGTTGGACTGGGTATCAGAGGAGGGAGTGAAGGAGCAGAGGCGGCGGGCGTGGGCTGATCCCAGAGTCGGATCCTTGCAGCTTGAATTTTCCACGTGACCTAGTTTTCCCTTTCTAATTCCATCGCTCTGGGTTTCCTCCCATGATAGATTTTTATTCCTGTAAGAACTCGACCTCGTCTCTCTTCTCGATCAAGAAACAGGAACCAACTTCCTCTCCGATCAAACCTGTCTGTCTTTATTTATTTTCATTCCCATTTTTTAAACTCCGGTTTTAATTCTTGTTCCAAACTATGTTTCAGTTCTTGTCCTCTCCTGACGTCTCCCTCTCAGTGTCCCTAATCTCCCAATTATTTCTGCCTGCACCCCCCCATTCTCCCACTGTTCCGTACTTCCCGTTTCGTCACGATCTCTGTCCTGCTCCTCAATGCTGACTAAGTTAGCAGGAAAAGCAAACGCTGCCAGAGCCAGCAGCCGCTGGCCGAGCCTGAATGACGGGGAAGGGGGGGGTGGAGGCCATCAGGGAAATCAGAAACACTCCCACGGCTGCAGGCCTCTCTGCTTGCTGGGACAAAGTGTTATTAAAGCCTTCAGAATAATCTGCAGAGTTCTGAGAGAAACATTTAGCCTGAGATGCATTCCTGCCACTGACAGCAGCTCCTTAAGCTTCCTGAAGGTCTGTCAGGGTTTTTAATTGGACTCTGGCTGCTTTCTTTCCCTTTTTATGTCTAAAATAAGCTGGACGTGATGCTGCAGCTGCAGCCGATTGAATAAAAAGTTCTGCTGTGCCAAACCGAGATTTTTTCCGAGTCTGCATTCCCAACATTTGGTCTTCCGTGCCGTAAATCTGCCACCCTGACGTCCCTCCACCCCGCTTGTCTCTTTCTTCTCCTACAGTTCCCCTTTTCATCCCTCTGGGTTCTTGCATAACCCGGGTCCAGCTGAGTTTTAGTGAAATGATCAATGAGCCTCATTGTGCGTCCGTCAGCGTGCGTTTGTGGGGCAGGGATTGAACGCCTGGCCCGGCGCGGCCGGAGTCAGTGTGAAATATTTTCTGCAGCAAGTAAATGTGAGAGAGTCTGTGCAGAAACGGTGGTCTTCTCTCAGCGTCACACAGGGTCTGTATTCACAACTAACTGGAGGACAAAGTCCTGTCCGGGTTCCTGAAGCTTCACTGTAGGCCGGGATAAAAAGGAGGAATTTCTCTCATTTCAGCTGAAAAATGGAGCTAAAGATCAGCAGCAGAGCAAGCTTCAATTGGCTGAACATCGTGACTTGAATCGATAATAAGCCTCCATGAGGAAATGAACTAGAAAGTACTGGAAAACCGACGTAAGCAACGTCTTTACTTCTCTGAAAGTTTGACTTTTCTGCAGCAATCTACTGATTCAGGGACCGATCCGACCGAAGAGAAAATATTGGCCGTTAATCCTGTTATCAGACGATTATTTTAAAGCTGGATTACATCGAAAGGAATAAAAAAAATTTCGCAAAACCATAAAGGTTTATACTCTATACTCAAATATGCAGACGTAAGTGTGAACATTAAGTAAATAAATTTAGGATAAATAATGAGAAAATAGGATTTATTGGTTTTTAAAATATAAACAGTTTTTTTTATTTACACTTTTCTGTATTTTTTTTTCCTCCCCTTTTTAATGTCTTTTTGTTTTGATTGTTTTGGACCTTTAATACCCTGAACCAATAGGAGTGAGGAACAGTTTTACTCCAGATATTGATAAAAAGTTTTTTGCTTGATGGAGGTTTGAAACCAACACCATGTTCTTCACTTAGACAACTTTTATTGTCATTTTTTTATACACAGAGTGCATCCAAAACAAAATTCTGTATTGTAAAGCTTTCAGACAGTGAATGAGCAGCAGCTCGGCAGTGAATTGAACATTTCCATTTCATAAAGCGCAACAGTGATCAAATTTAAACATTCATCCATCCATTATCTTACACCACAGGTGTCAAACTGGTTCCAGAACAATAGAACACCAGACTCCATTCATCTCATCAAGTCATCGTGTTCAGATTGGATTCCCTTAATGAGATGAATGGTGTCTGGTGTTCTATTGCTTGGTTGGAAAGAAAACCTGCAGCCACACGGCCCTTTCTGGAACCAGTCTTACACGTTTGTCCCAATTGGGGTCGCGAAGGGTTCTAATGCCTATCTCCAGCAGTCAATTGGCACCTAAAGACAATTTAGAGAAGCCAATTAACCTAACAGTCATGTTTTTGGACTGTGGGAGGAAGCTGGAGTACCCGGAGAGAACCCACGCATGCACAGGGACAACATTCAAACTCCATGCAGAAAGACCCCGGGCCGGGAATCGAACCCAGAACCTTCTTGCATGCACTGAGCAGCCCCGAATTTAAACAGTGTCGGAGAAAAAAAAAAACATGGTGCAAAAACATAGTCGTGGAATTTCAGAGCATTTCACGAATAGGGGTGTGGGAAATAATCGTTTTGGCGATATATCGTGATATTCGGCTGCCCAATATAATATCGATCTTTCACTTCTTAGTATCGATTTTCTAAAAAAAAAAATGGTTACATAAAACATTGATGGGAAAATGGGCTACCTCTGCA